AATTGATGAAGAACTCTTTAATCTGATCCCAAGAGAAGGCTCATTGATCCTGCTGGCAGAATATTCCAGCACTGCCCTTCAGTGAACCTTTTCATGAGAGGTACTTGGAGTGCCTTACAGTACATGAGCAGGATTTCTGCAAGCTTCCAAAGGCAGGTTGTGTGACTGATTTGTTCTTGCTTACTAAGAATGTTGATACATATGGCCAACTCAATCTGAGACTTGCTAACATATCATGACTGGTAAGCATGGTTGTGGGTTAAGTCTGATAGAATACAATTACCCTAATTTATTACAGCATGCCCATATTCCTTTATTTCCTAAAGGAATATTTTAATTATAATTAAGCAAATTAATACGGGTCAATTACCCACATCCCAAAACTTGATGGAATTCACTGACCTGAAACCTGAGAGAAACATCCGTTCTACCTTAGTCCCTCCACGTTTCCTTAGCCAGCTCCCACTCTACCCCTATCACAGTTTTGCACTTCCTTCCTTTGTTTTTTTCTTCTTCCCTTCTATATAATGTAAACTCCCTAAGGGCAGATTTGATTTTATTCTGTGGTGTATCTCATAGCCAGTATATATTTGTAAAAAAATTAAATAAACAAATGAATGAAGTGCTGGTTTCCAGTTCTTGAGAAGGGTGATTCATCTATGAAATCTGTCAAAGCTAAAAGCACCTAAGTTCTACTGAAATAAGATTTTTTGACAAATGGCAGAGAAAAATATTAATCGTGTGTTTTGGGAGCACAAGAGAAAGATTAATTTTAAATGGGGGAATTCAAAAAGTGGTTATGGAAAGGTATAGATTAACCTGGACTTTGGAAGGCATAAAATATAATTATCTCATTTAGGTTTTATTTAGATAAAATCTTATATATATATATTTTAGCGCTTCCTGATGCTATTGTTTCCAAGCTTAATAAACTGAACCCTGTTAGTACTGATCTTGCTACATGGAAGTCATTGCACATGGAGAACTGGAATTGCATTAGGCCATCACTCTCGCTGGAGAGTTTTCAAATGTATCCAAAGATCAAGTGTAAATCCCAGGAGAGAAACTAAATGGACAGTGAGCAATGGACAGTTATTAAGTTATTAAGCAAAAACAATGGAAAGGAAAGTCAGAGAGATGGGTATATGAAAGGGCAAGGTGTGTGAACGATCGTCATGTTCAGGGACTCTGGGCCCTTCAGTGTGGGACATAAGGTGGCTCTAGGGCAGAGTAAACACGGGAGAAGGAAGGAGAGGTCTAAATCATAAAAGAGGCAGTATTTCAGACTGAGGAATCTGGCAGTGGCTGTGCTCAAATAGGGAGCTAAAATGAGTTGTCTGTTGTTACTGTGCATACTGTACATGCTGTATGGAAGCATGATTATCAAGTAATCTCTTTGAACTATTAGAATACATCATAGTCTGTCTCCTATTTTGATGGGATTCTTATAATTTTACAGTTTCCTTAAAAAATTATAAATTATTCTTCAGCCACAGTGATCTGTATAAAATTGAAATACAACCATGTCACTACCCTTTTTAACCTTTTATGGCATCTTTAATCGTAGCCAAGTTGCTATAGATGACCTGGAGCCTTCCTTTCTATGCAATCTTTTGGGTCCACTCTTTCTCATTATATTCCAGACAAACTTAACTTGTCCTCCTTTTGTTTGCATTTCACATTCAGCGACTTGACATACTTTGTTCCTTTTAATTTCAGTGCTTTCCTACTTTCTGGAAATATGTTAAATCAATCAAATCCCAACTTAAAAATCGTATTTTCAGGAGGCCAGTTACAAACCTCCTGAGCCCATTAGTAGTCTCAAGTGAGACTCAGCAAACAAGCAGTTTCTTCTTCTTTTTTTTAAATGTGTGACTGTAAGATAATCCATTTTAAATACAAATTGCCTCTCATGCAAAAGTTTATTCAATTAGGGGTTCCAACTTTTAGAAAAAGAACACCAAAGCTTTAATACAGAAATAGAAACAGAGCCTTAGAAGGCACCGTGCACGTGACAAGCTTTGAGACTTGTTACTTTACTAGATACTGAGACATGCTGGAGAAAACAACATACTTTGACTCCCGTTTTTCTGATACTTCAAGCCATCTAACTCTAACTTACAGCTGCATAGATGTTGCAACTGCCCCAGGAGTATTAGTAACGTGAAGTTTTGAATGAATGAGTGAATTAGTTTTGCCATGGAGAATGGTGAGACAAACTCAATTGTGTTTGTCTGTCTTGCACAGTTTCTAAGGGCCAGAGCACAAATTTATTAAAATTCAAGTCAAGCCTATTTATGGATGTGCTCAGGCAGTATCAGTATCTGCTCTATGAGCTAACATAGCCAATAAAGACAAGCAGACCAGAAAGGCCTTTCAGTTACAAAGTCAAATTTGAAAGAGCCAACCTAAAGCAGGGAGCAAAGAAGAAACAAAACAATCACTAGCGTAGGTATTATTTGGGGAGTCTGAGGTTTTGTGTCACCAGTCACCACACAGATATGTTTTCACTGCTTTGTTGTATTCCTTTATTCATCTAAGTCTGTTGCTGTGCTGGCATAAGATGACATATGTACCACCTACCTTAATTTATCTTATTCGAAGACTGACCAGAATTGTTAGTGAGATTGATGTAATTTTGCTCTGAATTCATCAAAATCCACTCATTAATTATAAACCATGAACCAATATCTTGTTTTCCACAACAAATGGTATCATAAATAAAAGGATGGTTTACTGCCCTTTATTAGTCTTAATCATAAAAATTATTCAAAACAATGTTCAGAGTAGCAACAGTCAGGTTAGAATGACATATTAGTGAGATGTGAAAATAAAAGAAGAAAAAAATCACATCTGTAGAGATGAGAAAAATAAACTACTGTTAGAGGGAGAAGGTGATATTGAAACAATTTCCGCTGTGGGTCTGAAGTAAAAGGTCACTTTCTAGTTATTATTTTCTCTCTGAGTAAAACAGGAAAAGCAACTAGACATTAATAGACAGTTTTCAAACCATGTAATTTTGAGGCCATTAAATCACACTCAGGAAAAAAAAAATACCTAAATAAGAGCTGTCCTATTTTGATTTAAAGGACAAAGATTATTTAAAATAAAGTTAAATCATTTAAAACATTTCATAGAATGGATTAAAATTTGGGAAAATTACTGAATTTCAAGAATAATTATTTACATTTTATAAACAATTTCAAGAGTAAAATATTTAAGTATAATCACACTCTGATATTTGGTGTAAAGAATAGTATTAGAGTAAATAAGGATTCTTTAAGAAATTAAGTATCCTACCTAACCCAAAAATACAAGGACAAGAATAACAACCTTAATAATGAAGTCTGTGTATAGTCACTTTAAAAGGAGTATTAGAAGAAATTGGATAGACAATTCAGTTATAACAACATGAAAATTTGCTACAAAACTATCTATTAACTTTTTTATTATAATTCATCCCATTTATTCTGATAGAGTTTAGAGAGGATTTATTATAAAACACACATATATTAAGATATTTCAAATAATGTATTAAGGAAGGATCACAAAACTTTAATGCAAGGTAATTATTAAAAATCTAAACTAAGATAAGTTATTTTTTTAAAACTTAGATACAGTATGTGTGTGTATGTATTTTTAATATAGAATAATGTAGCAATGAATAAAATAATGAAGGAGTAAGGGTATTTCTCATCCCTGTTGAACAAATTTGCTGTATCAATGAGATACCTATTTCTAAAAAATGCAAGGAATACATCCATTAACAACAATATAAGTGGTAATAAAATGTCACTAATAAGCAGATGAATTATTTTTATACATAAATACTAGAAAAAGTAAAAAGGCAAAAAAGGCCTATGCTTTTTTGTTTAGAAATTATGAAAACTAATACCCAAGAAAAATATTCATTTTGTTATTGTTTTACTATCTATGAATAGATACGCCTGCAAGACAGTTTTTTAAACAAAATATTTAATATAAAAGAATCTGAAAGTTTACTATTAATTTCCAAATTAAGTGATACTCTTAAGAAAAATATTGTAATGCTTAAGGAGAAATAGTCCTTTAAGGAAAAAAGATAAAGATAAATATAGGTAGAAAGTGATATTAATAATGTGGCATCTTACTACACTGATGGACAGTGACTGCAGTGGGATGTGGGGTGGATTTGATAATATGGGTGAATGTAGTAACCACATTGTATTTCATGTGAAACCTTCATGAGAGTGTATATCAATAATACCTTAATAAAAATATAAAAAGGCAAAAAAAATAATGTGTATATATTCCCTATGAAGTAAAACGACAACACAAATGAACATAAAAAGGTATAACAGAATTTTAAACATGTATTAAGAGAGGAGTGGGGCATGAGATTAGGTGTTATTAATCCTAAGGCTGGGGTACTCATGGAGGGGGAGGGAATACATTTTGCAATTCCCAGAGAATATTAGGCATTGTCTGGAGGCTTCTTTGGTTGTCACACTGGGGCAGGCATAGAGCTGGCATCTAATGGATAGAAACCCAGAATGTTCCTGAACAATCTGCAATGCACAGGACAGAGCCTCACTCCCTAAGAATTATCTGGCCCAAAATATCAACAGTACTGTGAGGTTGATAATTCCTAATTTAGGTGGATAGAAATGGAAATGGTAAAAAGTGGACAGACTCAATATATATTCAGCATCAAACTTTTAGTAGCCTTTTGAAACCTCCTCAGACTATGTTACCAGCTCTTTAGTGGACATAATTCTTATGAAATGTATTTGAACCAGCAATTAATGTGAAGAAGTTTTGGATTCTTGTTTTATGTGGAGAGTCAACCGGAAAAATATGCAGTCTGGATTTGTCGATTACCTGTGAAGACTAAACTTAAAAAACATCAAGTCTTAAAATATTTAGAAATATTTTTATTGAACCAGCTTACTAAAAGTTATTAAAGAACATTCATTCAAAAACATTTTTTTTCAGATTAGAAAAAAGACAAAATTACTCACTTGCCATTCAGTGCTGCTACACCAACTGTGCTTCGGGCAATGGACATACTGGCTACAAATGTCCATTGCTGACTCTGGGGATCCCACCTCTCCACTGTGTTCAGATAGCTCCAGCCATCGTGGCCTCCGACAGCATAAATAGGACCTTCAAGTACTGTCACACCTAAAAGCATGGGGGAAATGAAAACTGAATAGATTTATTTCACAGTGAGATTTAAAAAATCCCATTAATAGTAAAAACTATGAGGCCATTCAGAATAGGCTCTAGCCATTAAGAAACAATTGCAATGAAGAAGAAACTGTTTGCTATCAATTGAACCATTTCATTAGAGTGAAAAAAAATTTGAACTCAAAATAAATACTATGACTTACATGTTTTATAAAAGAAAACGAATTTCCTTATTTATGTCCATATGAAGAAGCAAACTCTAAAAATCAGAGATGATACATCTTGTGCCTCTACTTTTGGATAGTGTGTGTGTGTATTTCTGTCTTGCAGTTTAAAGTACATTATTACTTTAGGCAGTGTTGCATCAAGCAATGTAATATTATCAATTTGAATTTCACAGTAATGTTTTCAGAGTTATGGGCTTTGCAAAAACTTCATAATAGATATATTAAAGCTTAGAAAACATGACGCCTTTCATATTATAAGGTGATACCACTAAAACAAGCGATCAACACAAAATAATAGTCATCAATGGGAGGATATACACAACTATATTTCAGTAAATTCATTTTTATAGATGAATTTCTTACATGCTAATAATTGCTAAATATTTAAATATGTCATGTTAATACTGGCTAATGTGATTTTATTATATATAGACAAATTCTGCTAATTATCCTTCAGAGTTCAAAACAGTGTCTGAATGTCAAGAACTCTAAATTGTCTTTGATTTTCCCTCCTTGCCAGCTGACAAGTTACACGGCCACAAATTTATGTGTATTGATAAAAGACATGACCTTTGGGTCTAAAAGGAAAGGTAGGTCTTTGCTCATAAAACAGCAATAGAGTCTCACCCTTTTTTTTTTTTGCTGTTCTCAAGTCCCAATTCCCACAGGGTTACTCAAAGAGGATGGCCTTAACATTTCCCTCACTTGACCAAACTTTGGGTAGGATTCTTTTTTGCGTTTGGGGCCCTGATTTCACATTCCTTAACACATATACTTTAGAAAACTTGTAATTGAACATTATTTCTCTGTTCTTTCAAGCTGTAAATCTTTTAAGATACGTCTTGCCAGTGTTACAACCCAGGACTGTCTCAAAGACATGAAAACCATCTCTTTTGAAATGTAATCATCAAGAAAGATAGCCAGGGCCAACTTCAGTTGGCCCCTTCCTTCAAGTTGTAAAATTACTTCTTTTCAGGAAGATAGAAAACTTACCTTTGGGAAAAAGGCCAGTTAGCAAAAACATAGATTGCCTCTTACCTCTCCACCTCCCTCAGGTCTTAAAAACTCTCCCTCCTTTGTTTTAGCTTAGTTGCGTTCAGCCTCAGTTCTGGCTTCTCTTCCCTAGTGCAATAGTATTGAATAAAATCTTCTTTGTCTGTTTGTCTAATGCAATTTTTGCTTTGATGTGTCATTTGGAACCTGTCCAGGCAGTGGGTTGCATTACAAGAAGGGAAAATATTTTATAATGGGCAATAAATGTATATTCCTCTGGAAGGAAACAGTATCTTCATGCTTTTAAGCATGCCTGCCTTTCACATTTGAGAGAGACTATCTCTGTCTTCCTAGTCTTTCTGTTATTAAAATAACATCATTTTGTGTAATCAGTGCCTTGCTCAAATGTTGTACAGAAATGTAAGAGACCCATGAATAATTGTCTCTCAACACTGAGAAATTAAAATGAAATATTCATTCATTCATCCAACTACTATCCATTGAATATCTATGATGTATCAGGGAATTGTTCTTCTCATCAAAGATAGTGCCAAAGACCCAGAGGTGAACAAAGCAAAGTCCTTACCCTCACTGACCTTATGTATATGTCAATGAATATTTAATTATAATAGAATAACTACATTATCACAATAAACAAGTATACTTCACACATATTACACGATTATAATTTAATAAAGGATAAAGAATATCAAATTGCCCTTATACATATATTCAACTAAGGGATGCTTGCTTTTACGCACACCAGTAAAAAAGTATGCATATTGAAGACTGAGTTCTTTGATGCAGTGATTGTTAAAATCAAAGGGCATAAATTTTGGATGCTCTTTCTTAGGCAGCCAAAAAGTAAGAGAGAGGGATTAGAAAGGATAGTGAATGTTAAATTCAGGGCAATTTCCAAAGGATATGGATGTATCTCATGGATTTTTACAAAAGTATGTGCAATTATTCACTTCTCAATAATGAAAATATACATTGAGGCTTTATTATTTTTCAATAATTAAATATATGAAGGTTAAAGCAGTGAATTTTTTAAGGTGCTGGAATTGACTATTGAGTACCAATTAGGTATTTGATAGATAGTGTAGCTTGTGTGTTTGGATTGAGTAGAATATATTTTGGTTATTCTTTAATATCAATTCTTTAAATGTCATACATAAACGTTTACATAAATGTCATACATAAACATTTAAAGGATGTAGAACTAGATAAGGTAAGTTAAGAATATAGTATTAGGAGAGAAGGCGGCAGAGATCAGAATCTAGTATGTAAGATATAGTATCCTTCAGAAAGAGTCATTCATTAGCATGAGACTAATGAATTTGGATTTTATTCTGAGAGCAACGGGAAATCATGGAAGTGTTTATCAATGAGGGATATGATCATTATATTTATTCTTTTTTTTTGTAGGAAATGGAGTCAGTTGGAGTCAGTTTAGATGGCAGTAGAGAGATGATAGGAGAAGATAGTAGGTTGCACTAGTAGGTTTCAGAGTAAATAGAACAAAATATAAGTGTTTGAGATTTATTCTAGAGGTTTTGCTGTTGCAACTTGCTCATGAATAAGATCTGGGTAAATGAATAAAGAGGATGAATCAGGAATAAATTAATTGATTGAACAATTGCTTAAGTATTAGGGAAAAAAGAGGTTTGGGAGAAACTGTTTTGGAGGAAATTCAATAACTCTATTTTGGAGATACTGCATTTGAGGGGCCTACTAGACATCTAAGCATGGCAATTAAATAGGCTAAAATACACGTTAAAGTTTAAGTTGGAAGTATACATATAAACTGTGGAATTATCAGCAATTATGTGACATTTAAAGACGTAGAACTAGATACGGTCAGTTAAGAATATAGTATTACGAGAGAAGGTAGCAGAGACCAAAATCTAGCCCCATGTGGCTCTAATATCAGTTACAAGAAAAGAGAAGAAAGGAGAGAGAAAAGAAATGGACAGGTAGATGGGAGGAAAACCAGAAGCTGGTGGTGTCTGGAAACTAAGACCAGAGTGTGTTTCTAGGAAGATGGGATAATCATTTGCTGACATATTTATGACAAGTATATATTTCTATTGATTTGGAAAAATGGAGGTTATTGTGGACTTTGAAAATAGATTCTGGAGCATCATTGTGTAAGTTTTAATCCATTCTGGTAACTACTTAGTCAATTATGTACCCTGCAAAAATCATTGATCTGTGACTTACATTTTTTAACTATTCGAGTTTGAAAATATTCCACTCCTAAAATATAACACACACACACATAATGCAAAAAATTATAAGATTTTTTTCACATGAATACCACTATGTACCCACCACTTACATCATTTCTGCTCCAGAAGTACTGTTTATGAACCTTCCCAGTCACTAACCCATGCCTAAATGGTAATGCTTTTTCTGATTCGCTCCCTTATCTAATGTTGTTTTCCCTGTTTTGAACTTCTGAATTAAAGCATTTTATACATCCTTATTTGTATGCTAAAAACCGAATGTTTTTGTCACATCAAAATTCTGATGTTGAAATCGTGATCCTGAATGTGATGGAATTAGAATGTGGGGCCTTTGATAAGAGTGATTCTGCCAGGAGGGCAGACCCCTATTGAGTGGGATTAAGTGCCCTTATGAAAAAAAGTCCCGTACTCCTGCCAAGCGAGGAAACAGTAGATGGTTCTATGAACCATGAAGGAGGCTCTCACCAAACACAGAATCTGCCAACACCTTCGTTTTGGACTTCCCAAACTCCAGAACTATAAGAAATAAATTTCTCTTGTTTATAAGCCACATAGCCTATGGTATTTTTGTTATAGCAGCCTATTCATTCTGTTATAATGAACTAAGATATTGTGTCTTCTTCCTTCAGAGTTATATTTATGAGTCATTCAGGGTGTTAGGTGAGGCAATCATTTATTATTTTCTTTTGCATATACTATTAGATTGTATGAATATGCAAATTTTATAGCTCCATTTCTTCACTGATGGAAATTTGTATTATCACCAATTTGCAGATTTTAAAAATTAAGCTGAAATGTACACTTTTTTGATGCACATATATACTTGTTTCACCTAGATTTGAAAATGCTGGGTCGTTGAATATGCTTATGTTGAAATTATAAGGTACATTCAAAGAGTTTTCTTAAGTGATTTTATTATTTTTTATTTCTACCAGTAGAGTAAAGGAATCCATTTGTCTCAAAACCTCACTAAAATTTATTTTGAAAATATTTAATTTTAGTCATTCTGATGTGTAATGATATCTGATTGTTGTTAGCTTTCATTTAGTTGATGATTAAGAAAACTAAGCATTTTTTCATGTGCTTTTTTTTTGCTATTTGCATATCCTTTTTATGAAAGACCTGTTAAAAAGTCTAAGCCTTTTAATTGTATTATCTCTCTCTTACCGATTTATAGTAGTTCCTTTAACTTTATGGAAATTAATCTTTGTTGAATCTTTTTCAACAATGTTGTTTACACTTTAGTGAATTTTGATGAACACATGTTAGGTTCACTTGATTATAACAGAAATGTCACTATAATGTAGCTGGGAAAGGATTTTTTTTTAAATAATGCTATTGGTTGAATTGGTATCCATATGGATCAAAATGGCCCATGACCAATACACAAAAGTCAATCTAGATGGATCATAGGATTAAATATGTAATTGAAAATAATAAAGCTTATAAAATATAATGGAAATGCATTAATTAATTATCTTTGAGGAAGACAAATATTTCTTAAATAGGACACAGGAAACACTTA